CCATTTTTCTCTTTTGAAGCCAAGGACAGTACATACTTTAGGAAAAGCTTTCATTCCAATTTGGATAAGGAGTAGGGACACCACCTTGGGCAATTACTCCTGGGCTGAGTTTATGCTGCTTGTATTTCTACCCACCATAGCTAACTTAACCATGGTTAAATATGGAGTGCCAACATAACCAGGGCATTGGTAAGATTGACTCCATTCCCTTCCATAGCTGGCTTCTCACAACACTATAGGCTATGCATGGTTGTTCAGTTGGCCTAATGTGTGCTGCAAACTCCAGCATTGGTTAATTCCATAAACCAGGACTAGCATGTGTATTTGGTGCAAAGGCATCTTAGGGGAGGAAGAAGCCCTCCAAAAATGAGATCTTCAGACTGAAATCTTGGTTACTTCTTAGGCAGGAGTGGGGCATCCTTGGTTTCCATGGAAGGAGATGCAGTTTAGATCTGGCCTAAGAACTCCCGCCTTTAGGGTATGTGCGAGGTAGCAAGATCAGTCAAGAAGATGACTTGATTCTGCAAACCTCGAGCCCAGGCGCTCTTGGGCTGGAGCAAGCTGGTGGGGCTGCTTTGCATGAACAAGTTGGTTTCAGGCGCCTTCGTCAATGGAGTTCGTTCGATGGGATCCAAACAAAGCAAGTCCCAAGAGTTAATTATAGCGCAGAGTAGATTGCAGTCTTGTTGAGGAAGAGAGCAGTTAACTGAAAAGCCCCGTCCTTGCAGGAAGTCAAGTAGATTTCTGTAAAGTAGCTCTGGAACACCAGATCCACCTCTTGTCTCCAGCACGACACTAGTGGCTGACCAGACACTCTGGTCCAAAAGACCTCGCTCCACAAGCCAGTTTCGTTGCAACCAGAGCCGAGCTGAGAGCGCTCCGGCCCTCTCCCCCTCCCCTTCTGGTGGGATCAGGGAGCCCTGACGTGGCCAGGCTCTGATTGGCTGGCAGCCGATAGGATCTAGGCGGCCAGCAAATTAAGCCCAAGGAGCGAGGGGGGCCGCTCGCACTGGCTGCCCCGCTGAGTTGTCTCCAGCGCTCTTCGCCGCCGCTTCGATCCCACGCTCCGGGGCAGG